TTGGCTTACTCATGACTTCAATTGCATTCCATTGTCAGTTTCTTAATGAATCATCGGCACTTTATCGCTCCCTATCGAAAAAATGTTTTGTCTTCCTTACCTGCTTATTGCTCTTACTCAATAAACAATCACTATTTCCATTACGGTAAAGAAGATATCAAAAAAATCAGCCATCTGGTTTAAAACATACAGGATGGCCATGTGAAGACAGTTTAAATCTGGACTGATCCGGGGATCGATGAAATCTGAGAAAGGGAGGATAGAGGCAAGGGAGACGAATCGCAATCCGAACCAAGTGAGCAATGAAGTATAAGAATAGGCAAGCAGCAATAAGCTCGATCTCGGGAGAATCTCGTGGTGAAGTACATATAAAGTCATAATAAAGGAAAAAATAATATTCATGAGGTTTACATAAATTAAAATTGTTTTACATAAATTAGAAAGAGGTGGTGTAGTGACAAGCGGCAATTATCTCGCACCCATGGTCACGGTTTCAAATTCCCGATTCGTACCCACCTAGGCTAACGAAGCCTTCCAACTCCTCAGGGGTCGGTTAGTAGGTTCCAGACTCGTCTGGGAGGATAAAAGCACTGACATGTACATCAGCTGACCACAACAAGTCATTGGATAGGTGCGCATTCAATACACCACTACGATTCTGGATGGAAGTCAAATGCTGTGGCGCATCCCCGAGGCGAGATCAAGTCATAAGACTTTATTCTTTTACCCTTAATATTAGATAACTACTTTCCATCGGCTATTTTTTTTATTAATTCAGTCCTTACTGAGCTTATTATCATTAATCTATCGAATCAATCCATCACTAATTCCATTTATAAATATTTTTCTGCAAGCTCAGGAATTACTGAGTAATGACGATTGACACTGTAAGGAAGTCATTATTAATTAGATTAATATTGATTTATTGATTTTGTATTTAAGTGATAGTTCATATTCAGGACTTACTGAGAAAAGGCCGATCGAGGCTGTGAAGATGGTATAGCGGAGAACTGCAACTGAGCTACAGTTTATTGTGGTGCGATCTATACTCCAAGGACCAGGTAAGTAATTTACCAGTATGATTAACACTAAGTAAACAAACATGGCAAACATACAACTTGGTTATCATTATGGAGAATGTCACCGGTTGGTGTAAGAGGTATGGTCATGAGCATAATGTGAATTTACGCTTTGCTTTTTAACTGGCCGTCCGTACGGTAGCCACAATAGTTGGGTCGTAAAGGAACAGTTCAACCATTGAAATTCTTCAATCCAACGATTGTTTGCATAATGTTGACCGCACTAGGCGTTGGCCGAATTCTTGTAGCGCAACAGGGCGGATCCCATGAGGAATCATATTGATGCATCCCGGGCCTGAAGGTCGGTACCGTACTGTACCTCTCCAACTGGATTTCAGGAGATGAACAGGAGAGGACAATGGGTTGGAGCCGTTCTCTGAGTTCCTTTTACCAACTCACTAGCTGACCTATCTGAAGCAATAGCATTGTCAGAAATCTGAATTGCTTCCATTTCAGTGTTAACTGTACTGGTAAACTTAAGCTTATAAGTTGTAGTTAGCTTAAAAGTCGATAAAATCGATAGAGATAGGGCTTCAGAGCTCAAAAAGGTAGATGTTGTGATGGGGGTCATCGCTACATACCTATTATCTCCCAGTCAAGCCAATAACTATTCTGACACCACCAAAAGTAAACACTATCATTTGGGTCTACTGAGAGAATCCCAAATGTTGCTGAATAGATTTCTTCCACTCCCTCCTTTTCCCTCTTCCTCTCCGCCCTCCCTCAGGTTTATATGAGTGTTGGTAGAGTTTCAGCGCATTGTCGACTCAAGTTAATTGGTCATCATCGGAGAGATTATCCTAGTATCCATTTTCGATGAGATTGAGATGAGGTTCTGCCGCTCATTTCCACTGACACAATCATCCTGAGCCAAGTATCGGATTGTTACTTACCCTAGCCAATTAAAACTTCTCTCCAGAGTCTGTCAACGGGTACCTGTCCCTCCTGGAAGGGCCAAAGCGTTTGTGGATAACTTGCCACTCTTCTTTACCTGCTCCCAAATGCACAAAGCAAATTTTCATTCAAATGCTGCCACCTTTCTGGATTGAATT